GGACGATTTATATTGGTACAGAAAAATGTATCATCAAAGTACTTGATATTCGGGAGTGGCACGTTAAGTATTTACTTTTAGACAACGCTGTTTGTTCAATTAAATAATACGTCAACGCCTTAGCTAATAAATCATTGAAATCATAACTACTTGGCTTGTATATTTTGGAACAATGATATATGTTTTCTCCGGGTTTCAGCAATTAATATATGATAACTACTCTCGTTGATTATACGTCTGCCAGCAGCTGTTGATAGTTTTTTCAGGGACGTTCCGATTGACCTTTAAGGTGTTTTCCATAGGCAAATATACAAAAGTCTTTTCACAATAATAGGCTGTGTGAGAAGTATTGTCCGTAACACGTTAACATAAGTAAAAGGGAACTTATTGTTAACAGGGTTTCATTAATGGCCTATTGTTATGTTCAGAATTCTTTCAGGTTCGAGCAGATTTTAATTAAGATTGGTTCGATCATTGAAGTATGCACCCATCTGCCTTACGATGTATGTACCTGTAACACCTCTTAACGGACTGTACTTGAGTACAAAAGACTCATGGGACAAGACCATTTCAATAAATTCATTTCTGTCGAACAATTTACTGATATGAGTGTTGAATTTTATATGATTTTTAATTTCAAATTATATATCTTTTAATCTTTTAGTTTCACGGGCCTTATCTAGCGTAACTAAAAAGGTATGTTGAGGACAAAATCAGAACCAAACAATTTTGTTGTGCCATTTGTAATTGGTGACGTAACCTCATTGTCCATATTATGACATCACAATCGATTTCCGACTTGAGTAGCCAAAGAAAACTTCTCCTGGATACTCCAGGGGTTACGCTCAGTATCGCCCTCTGCACTCTTTGAACATTTCTTGGCAAAACTGAAGGAAAAAAGTGAGATAATTTCATTAGTCTAGAGTTGGTTTCAGAAGAAACAACTTGACCAATCAAGCAAAGGAGCGACTCCCGACTTCAAAGTCGTTAGATGTGTACATCAGAGGACCAAACTAGCTTTCTCGTCTCATCAACAAAGTGTCTCACATGGAACCTACAATTTCACCACGAATGTTCCTGGGTACAGAGAGCAATAGTGGGCTTTAATCCTTGGAGTATCTAGGATGCATATTATTTTGATAGCAACATCCTTTTTTACCAAAACTAACAGAGTAATTGATTCAATGTCGACAGTAAAGAATGAAAAACTGGGAAACAAAATAAAAGATATAATGTAAGACATACAAGCTGATGTAGAGATATATATTGATACGTGATAATGCCTCACTTTCTCGATTAAAAAATGGTTATATCTATGTCAAGTCCGTATGATTGGCGTTCTTAAATATGAAACTTTTTTTCATTGTATCTATTCTATTTCCCGGTTTCACCTTGAAACAGCATTATAACTAGCATTATACAGGTAACATTAGTGATATACCCGTACAGCATTGTAATATTAATATCGTATTTATATTGTGTTTATATTGTATATATTAACCGTACCAGTCCATTTTCCCTTCATATGCTGAATTCTCTATGATTTTAAATCCACATTTTTGTCATTCATACACCGATTTAATCTGTGTATCTAGACCAGCTCATGCAGTATAGCACAACAGTTTTGTCGTGTGGAGAATTATTCCGATATGAAGTGAAAAAATGAACAGAGTCTTTCTTTCCTATTTCATCAATGACTTTAGCACTTGTAGAACGACAGAAGGGGGATAACTCGTACTCCTATCATTTCCAAGGCGTGGTTCGTTCTAATGTTATTTACATTATCCCAATCCGAAGCCAGAAAAAAAAACTACTGCTTCAAGCTGGTAATGTCAACTAAATAGAATATCTTATTACATAACCAGTAGAAGATAGCGTTACGTTTCAATGACTACATCGCCACCTCCGTCATATTCATTAGGAACATGTATCTGTATGAAGGTAACAGTGAAGTCATCGAAACGTCACACTTGAATTTTCTGCTGGTTGTGTAATAAGAACTTCTATTCTACTGCTGTAGGTTCAATGCGGAATAAACGCCATTATTTCATTAGCATTCTTTAAAAGGTCAAAATGATTTACAAGTACAACACAGCACTGTACCAAAATGAGTCAGCTTTTTCAAATGGCTTTTTTAACAGAAACAGAGCTAGTAGCTTGCCTTTTTATAACGAATTTTCTTTTGAATCTTTAAAATCAGACCTTTCAGAATCAGGACATGACCTATTCGCCTTGAAATGCCTTAAGATCTTAATTCCAACCTACTTTGTTTATTCCACAGAGACGTAACTTCGCGTTGCAGGTCTGCATTTTTATGCATTATAGAATGTCAAGATTTTAAATTTGTTTTGATAAAATACAATACATTGAGTGGAAGCCGTGTAAATGATTTTTTTTTCAATACTTTTTACAAGCGAGATTAGTGATTGAGTCTTCCAGATAGATCCAAGGCCTCTCTACCAAGTGCTGCTTAGTGACAGCAGATCAGTCTGCTCTGTGTTCTAATTGACGTTCATGTTACCAATAACTAAACACGTGGTATCTCCATTAAACTAATACAACTCCATACTACTAACTCGAAAGGGCTTATTGGAGAACATAATCCAAATATTCTGGATGCGATTTTACACCAGCCTTTATCCAAACTTTAACATGTCCGTCAAATTGGATGTTTTTTAAAAATAACATTTCACCACTGTATATAAATTTTGCCAGTTTTCACAAAAAAGCTGTTTTTGTTGTCTCTTGTTGTTACCTTTAGACCACAAAGTCTTTACCACAGAACGCCGTTTGATATTATTATGTGAGCACGTTTTGCACTGAACGAACAGCACACGGAACTGGGTAATAACTTCAGCGATTTTTGATGTAATTTCATTCAAACTGTGTCAGGCTGATATTGTATAAGGAGAGCAGCTGACATTTTGTTAAATAGTTCCGACACTAGTATGTCAGGTGATACGTCTGTATATTTCCGACACTAGATTATCAGGAGATGCGTCTGTATATTTCCGACACTAGATTATCAGGAGATGCGTCTGTATATTTCAGACACTAGACTGTCAGGAGATGTGTCTGTATATTTCCGATACTAGTATGTCAGGAGATATGTCTGTATATTTCCGACACTTCCCTGTCAGGAGATGCGTCTGTATATTTCCGACACTAGATTATCAGGAGATGCGTCTGTATATTTCAGACACTAGACTGTCAGGAGATGTGTCTGTATATTTCCGATACTAGTATGTCAGGAGATATGTCTGTATATTTCCGACACTTGCCTGTCAGGAGATGCGTCTGTATATTTCCGACACTTGGATGTCAGGAGATGCGTCTGTATATTTCCGACACTAGACTGTCAGGAGATACGTCTGTATATTTCAGACACTAGATTATCAGGAGATGCGTCTGTATATTTCAGACACTAGACTGTCAAGAGATACGTCTGTATATTTCCGACACTAGACTGTCAGGAGATACGTCTTTATATTTCAGACACTAGACTGTCAGGAGATGCGTCTGTATATTTCAGACACTAGACTGTCAGGAGATTCGTCTGTATATTTCAGACACTAGACTGTCAGGAGATTCGTCTGTATATTTCCGACACTAGACTGTCAGGAGATGCGTCTGTATATTTTTTCGACACTAGTATGTCAGGAGATACGTCTGTATATTTCCGACACTAGTATGTCAGGAGATACGTTTGTATATTTCCGACACTAGACTGTCAGGAGATGTGTCTGTATATTTCCGACACTAGACTGTCAGGATATGCGTCTGTATATTTCCAACACTAGACTGTCAGGATATGCGTCTGTATATTTCCGACACTAGACTGTCAGGAGATACGTCTGTATATATCCGACACTAGTATGTCAGGAGATGCGTCTGTATATTTCCGACACTAGACTGTCAGGAGATACGTCTGTATATATCCGACACTAGTATGTCAGGAGATGCGTCTGTATATTTCCGACACTAGTATGTCAGGAGATGCGTCTGTTTTTATTCGAATCTGGATTTAGATTTCGATAATTGGTGTCAAGTCCAAGGCACTGAGTGGCATAAGGGGAAAAACTCGTACTGCACACAACATTAACTGGTTTTCGAGTTTCGAGCATGTCGCAATTTTCAGTTGCGTAATCTCAATGAGTTGTTATTTAATAGTAACTGGAATCTGGTGAATAATTGTATATGAAATACCAAAATCAGGGGAAATGGTTATCAAAATGTAGCCTAATTTACACGGTTTGTACAATTGTATGGTTATGAACAGTAGAGGTAAATTATCTATCTATACAGAGGTACAATATATCAGTAAATAACACCTCCATTGTTGTTCACAATTCCATTGGCCTGAAGGAGTAGGAGAAAGAGAAAACCGTACACAAAAAATCAGGATTAGAATCAAATTATACCATGGCGTAAACGTAAATCATACATGTGAAAAAAAAACAGACACACAGGACCGACAGTTCGATTTAGACAATCACTGAAGTTGTCACTTTGTTTTAATCACAGGATGAGAATGAAGACAATGTTAAGTATGCTGTTTTAAACTGATGTTTATGATTCAGACCCATACTACTATTAACAGTGTGTGGTAGACTTTAAAGAAATACACAATCACGTGATATATATATTATATATACTCTGGTATGTATGAAAACTTGACAAGTAAGTACACTTTGGATTTGAAGGAAGTACACTTATAGAATAACTTTTATCTTTGGATAACATTGTCATCAAAAACATTGGCAATGTACATTAAGTAATAAACACGAACATTAAAAGTAGATATGACAATCATGAAACGCCATACAGTACATTTAGAACGCAGTTTTACAAGCCTCCTATCAATGAACCTAACACTACACTTAAGTTTTCTGTTCTGAGCATTTAACATGGAATCAATTCCATTCCGAAGCTTCTTATCATTCGCACTAAACTTTGACGCTTGCAACAAGTTTAATGAAACACTTGGTTTGACACATACGTCATAGCATTAATATAGCAGACATGATACTTAGTATCAGAACAGTGAATGACATCGTTGATCGTTCAGCCGACGCTCGAATCTCCGATACCGCCGGGTCAACGTACACCATGCCCCCTAAAAAGAAAGCAAAATCTTATCAATTGGTGTGTGGGCGCTTTTCTAGAGTTCATGTTTCAAAATTAATACAAATTATTATTAGTATACCGGGAAAATATAAGAAAACTTCTTTTAAAAACGTTTTTTTTTCACTTTTCGGATTAGACGGGTATGGAAAGTGTTTAATTTAAATTTGTGGCTTTATCAATACCTTCCTTCAACTTAAACAACTTTAATAAAAGCTGAATATTAAAAATGATCTGAAACGATTGAATTTGCTGACTTTTGGTACTTGTGATAGAACTACCTTTCATACTGAAATTAGGCATACAATATGTTTTGACGGTGTTATCTCTCGACATTTTATAATGTGGTTAACGAGGAAACGCAAATGTATATTGTTCTCGTAGCTAACCTAGAGTAAAGTAGATAGTCTCGCCGAGGTTACCATCTCCTCCCTGGCTATATCCTAGAATACGTAGTTTGTAAAGATTGTTTTTCTCCACACCGTAGATAATAGCCTCGTCCACCTTGTCCACAACTACGTCTTTAGCCGTCCTTATATCATCATTGCTCAACCAGTATCTCACCTAGAACATTTAAACATTTAAAATGCTGCTGTTGGTACTGGTTGAAAGTACCAATCAGAAAAGAAATCTGAAGTAGAAGTGGATTATTGCTTATGATGTCAAAAGGAGGGGGATATCCCCTATTTTTTCACGTATGAATAATCATCCTGAAAATGGTCATTAAACCATTTTATAATCTAGCTTCTAAAATCATTACTTCTGAAATCATAACACCACTTCCAAAATCTAAAAGAATCACTACAAAAATGTTTGTTATTTACTATAATACACTTGATGAATAATCATTATTAACAAAGGAAATCGACTTAAAAGATTGTTTTATTTTTAATCATCAAGCCAGATGATATATACTACCAGTTAAAATGAAAACATGTTTATAATAACTCTGTTATACAGAAACAACTGAAGCCAATTTTTTATATCGATTGCATCGCTGCTAATGTTCATCTACAATTTCTGACTTTTTCAGTCTTCACACCTGGTCCTATTTTCCTTGGACCTTTGGAGGAACCTCCGTGTGAATCTTGTTCATATTTTGCCCTATGTTTCTTTAATTGGAGTTTGGATGATGATGATGTTTACCTTTCGTTATTTCCTTCTTGTATTTTTGAGATGGAAAATAGGGGTAAAACACAGGAATGTAATCCTGTATTTACTTTGACAATTTATTTGTCCTTTCATCTTTAATTTACGGTGTTGTCTCCGATTCAATATCGACTGTAGGTTTATGTGTGTTGATAATATACAAGTCGAATTGGTGTCAAATTGATCTCCGTGAGGACCATATTAACACTCTCATGTTTTCTTTAAATTTCACGCCTGATAATCTGATACTAGTTATGTCACCTTGAATCCCTGGAGAGGTTCCTCATAAACACCGGTAGACACGCCCCTCCACTTCACTAACACACTGTTAACCCCATGTGAGTACACTTGTGCTTCAGTCGGATAAAGAACAGGAGCTGCAAAAATAAGTCACAAGATAAAATAACTAATTAGCTTCTTGGTATAGAGTGTTTTATTATATTCAATGAATATTCACCTGTCGTGGTTTTTCACACACAAAGGCCCGGTTTCTTTTATGTGTTGTTCAATCTTCATTGATTTAATTTCATGAATTGCAGAATATATCAAATCAAACAGCAAGTGCAACGAAGAAGATATGTTTTAAATGTGCTTACTCTTCCGGAACACCTAATCTTAGTCTCCTTAGTCTCTTATTTTCTCAGATATCACCATGGAAACGTTTATACGTGTTACGCTGTTAGATGTCATATATTATACAACTGTAGTGTTAAATACTTCAGATGTTGAAAGAACTAGTGGACAGCATTGTTTTGTTTATTGTTATAACGAACTGGGCTACTTGCTGTTGAAACCCAGCAACAAGGCCTAAATACTTCGCCTCATATATATCTGATTACTAATATGATGCTTAACATTTAGGTATGTTCTGCACTTGTCAAACCGTTTTCTTAAACATGCGCTATTTGAGAAAACTACCGAACTATTTTGGAAAACCGAGTCTTACTATTTTGGGATATGTAGGTTATTTAAGAAAACGGAGTCTAACCATATAGGTACGTTATTAGAAAAAAATGAGGTCTGGTCAATTTGGCAGCTGTATGAAACATTATACACATCGTCTAACCATTTTAAAGGGAGTGTGTTATTGTGTTTAACAGCAAGAAAAGAGACATTCAAAAGAATCGTACATAATGTTATTTAAAAAACACACAAATGAATGAGACTGTTCAATGCAGATTTTGAATTATATGCAGTAGAGTTAAATAATGAATTAAGTGTATCATACAGCTGTTTCGTCCATCTAAAACTTATCAGTGATGTAAACAGGCAACTGCAACAAAACCATTATGGAACAATTTTGATTGGTATCCTTTCTTTCAGAACTGTTTACAACCATTGTTGATAAAATTAATGGCTAAATGAGATATATGTTCAGTTCTAACCATTTTGATATGTACGCTGATGAAATTTTTCACTAATCTGTCCCATCCCGGCGGTGTTGAGAACTTGGACGTCGAACGTGTACCACGTGTACGGTAGTAGACCTATTACCAGGCCTTCGGGTTCGTGCGTCCTCCAGCTGATTGAGTTAATAATAGGATTGGTGTCATTCCTCTCAAAGTAATTCACCTGTATGTAAATGAATAACACAATGCTAGCCACACACTCAGCAATGGTGTTTAATTGCAGTTTACACGATACAGGTATAACCAAAACCAATGCTGTAATGCTGAATACTTCAAACGATATGTTAAAACTGTGCCAAACACAATTTTTAGTAGGTATGAATTCGACAACATTTTTATTGAAAGATAAACTTCTTATAGAAATTATAATGATATTGGGAGTGACATTCGATTTTAATAAATAGACGCGAACAATTTAAAAGGGATACACTATGAAAAGTATCGACCTAGACATTGATTTTAACTAACTACATATCTATTACTGCTATGAGTCAATTACCTGGTAGCCGAGTAGTTTTCCCCGCATTATCTCCCTTTCATCAGGAATGGGATCCCACACCACAAGGATGGCTGTAGCATTGTGTCTCCATGCTCTTATGTTAGTGGCCACTGCTATAGGCACTGGATAATCAAATAGGAGCAATGGCGTTGTCTTTATATATTGAAAAACAAACTTGATATAAAATAATTTGGTAAAACATTTTCTCTATATCTCGTGTCCATTTTTTTTCAATGAATATAACCTTGAGAATGCTTGAAAATGAAACTTATTTTTTTTAATTCACGTCACATCACAATGTTGATTCTTCTGATGTCTAAGTTTAATGAATTCACATTTCCAATAAAAAGACATGCTATGAGTTAAAAAAGCAAAGTAAACTTACAGTCCTCCGCCGAATAAATTACAGAAATGGTGGAGTTGGGTCCCTTGCCGAAACTGTTTACTGCCTGAACTTTTACCTCATACTGTGTATAGTAAAATTCTTGTCCGACGGTCTGTACATGATTTCCAACATCGGATGGGATTTCTGTCCTCTATCATAATAAATAATTTACATGCTATTCCAAGAATGTATAGGATTTTATTCATTAAAGTAACATGTGTACGTTGAAATTACACCATTAGAAAATTTAATGCCAAAAAGTTCAGTGCAATAATGAGAAATTTTCAAAGTCTACACAAAATTTTATTCTGCAATTTTTTTACCAGAGACAAAATATTTGGGAAATATAAATCCACGTCAATTTTTTGTTTGAACCAACACATAAATTCAATGGTTTGTTAACCTACCTTTACCCAGGATACCTCATTAGAGTTCCCTAGACGACGCCAGTAAACGGTATACGTCACAACAGCCCCACCCCAGTCTTCCTCTGCTACAGGCTGTGTAAAGGTTCGTTTGATTGATCGTAATTTATTTATTGCCGGATCTTCATACACAATGGCAGACATTTTGATAGCATTGTCTATATCTATGCGATTAAGCTCATGGATATACACATAGCAATAACTATTCATTAGTAGAGATGTTGGTATTTTATCATAAATCACCTTAACTGTATACTAATATGTAGGTACGTTTCATGAATGTGTCTACCATAAACGGCATTGTTAAAATGTGGAAAAGTATGTTTGCAAGTGTGGAAAGCTGCAAATTTACAGAACAATCTTGTTCCATATTGCGACTTTTTTATTCTGAGATAGAAACTTTTTCACTGAACTCAAGGGTATACTAGATTCAGAAACTGTTCACAAACTCACCAGCCAGGTAATGGTGAGGTCCCCGACACTTCCTCCGCCGCCCCCAACTTCACTCGGGGCTACGGACGGAGCAGCCTGGAGTGTCTGGAATATGTCTGAAGAAAATTATGTACAAACGTAACAGAAAATGAACCTTTTGAATTACTTGCCAATTAAATATTCAGCAATTAGAAAATGAATGATTGCAACCTTTTTACACCAAAGTTACAGTGAAAACAGAAGAAGATATGCATCGTCTTGATTATAAATATCATTGACAAGGAAACGACCGAAAAGAAAATTTCAAAATACAATAATCTTCGTATGATAACAAGTATCATAAGTACTTAGGACTAGGAACTCTGGCCACTTCGGGTATCTTAAATGGAGATTTAAATCTTGTAGTACAGGAGTGAAAACAATCATTCTAATGTTAGACACATGTCATTTGTAACCAGCAAGTTAGAATAACTATCTTTATATAACACGTGAATTGTTAGATTATAAAACAAAGCAAAAATGAAAGATAAAAAAACAACAAAATACCGAAGGAGTCTGTTATATAGGTTATATACACAATGTGAACTTCTGTTAAAATGTTCTTATTTTAACCCAATACAATATTTTGAAAATTTGATCGGTCTGAATATGGCCTTCTTCGCGGTGCTTACACAATGATAGAAACCTATATCGCCTTCTTCACGGTGCTTACACATTGATAGAATCCTATATCGCCTTCTTCGCGGTGCTTACACAATGATAGAAACCTATATCGCCTTCTTCGCGGTGCTTACACAATGATAGAAACCTATATCGCCTACAGCACCTTTTTTATTTCAAAGGTGGTCAAATCTTTTGAAGTTTATTCCTGACTGTTTATGGTGAAATTTGTCACTCAAGTGTAGAACATAATTTGTGTTAAATCTTAATGTAACCGGCTGGCTTATCAGACAGATAATTTAATTGCGGTCACCTTAGTGTCAGAATCATGCCGTGAAACATTGGCTAGACATGCTCTCCACCAGTGACTGTTCACGGTTTAATTGTAGATCAGTAGAAGACACTTTCCCTATCAGAATTAGATTATAATTGCTTTAGGATAAACTGTAAGATCACAGCAAATAGAGTCAGTCCTGGTGTGGCCGTGGAAGGAATAACTTGTTAAGCTCGATACTCAGGCCATACATGTTATCATTGTTGTAACTTGTGTTAATACTCAATATTTGTACTTGAGAACGGTTGTTGCTGGTCTTTTGTATAACATAAGGATAGTACAACATAGAGGGTAACATATTCTGGTGGCAGCGGTAAAGGATCATTCTAAGGAGAAGGACTCCGTTATCAAAGGTATAATGCTCGTTAGAACTGTTCACCTGAAGAAACGGAAACTGCGAAGATGACAGCAGCACAAACAAAGTTGGAAACAAGAAGACTCGAAATTCAAGCAGAGAAAGAGGAAAAAGAACGCCAAATGAACTTAGAAAAAGAAATTCTTCAAGTAGAGAAAGAGGAAAAAGAACGCCAAATGAATTTCGAAAGAGAAAGGATGAAGATGGAAGCAGAAAAAGAGGAAAAAGAACGCCAAATAAATTTCGAAAGAGAAAGGATGAAGATGGAAGTGAAAAGAGAAAAGATAAGAATGGACGCCGAAGAAAAGGAAAGAGAACATCAAAGAAAAGTGAAAGAATTGGAATTAGAGATTGAAAAAGCAAAACTTCAAAAGGAACGAAGTGACACAAATTCTAACCCTGTGCCGTTTAGACTGAAACTTCAACCTTATAATCATACTGAAAGTGAGGATATAGTGACATTCTTATCAGAGTTTACTGCTTTATCAACACAGGCTGGATGGACAGAAGAAGTAAAAATGCTACAGCTGAGAACCTTGTTAACAGGTGAGGCTAGAGAGGTAGCTATTCAAGCACATGGGTCATTTGAAGAACTTTGTAAAGCCCTAAGGGACAGGTACGGGAAAAGGCCCTACCAATATTTCAAGCTATTACAGACAGCCCATGTCAAAAGACTGCCAGAAGACGTGGTGACGAGAAAGCTCCATTAGGACAACCACCGATCATCAGTGAGCCATTTTACAAAATTTCTATGGATGTTGTTGGGCTACTGTCTCGAACAAAGAAGGGGAACAGGTTTATTCTTACCGATATGGATGACGCAACAAGGTACCCAGAGGCTTTTGCATTAAAGAATGTGGACGCAGAAACCATAGCTAACACATTGGTGGAACTTTTCTGTAGGGTAGGAGTGCCTCGTGTTATTCTGACAGACCAGGGCACAAATTTCACCTCAAAAATGATACAAGAACTCTACCGTGTGATGGGAATCAAGGGCATAACAACATCGCCATATCACCCACAGGCTAATGGGAAGCTGGAAAGATTTAACGCAACTCTCAAAGCTGTGTTAAAGAAATTCTGCACGTCAAATCAGGAAGCCTGGGACGAGCTGTTGCCATATGCATTGTTTGCATATAGGGAAGTACCCCATGAGGAAACGGGATTCTCACCATTTGAGATGCTATATAGATGGCCGGTCAGAGGGCCATTACAGATTTTAGAGCAAGCCATGACAGGCGAAGGGGAGCTTAGAAAATCTGTCATTGACCATGTTGTTCAGATGAGAGAAAAGCTCGCAATGGTTAGAGAAACAGTACAAGATCAAGGAGTGGTACGATAGGAACGCCACAAAACGGGAACTTCGACCTGGGGACGAAGTTTTACTATTACTACCATCAGACACGTCAAAAATGGTCGCCCAGTGGAAAGGACCATATAGGGTCATAAGGAAAGTCAACGACGTCAACTATGAGGTCAATGTTGGAGGACGTCGTAAACGAGTTGTTTATCATATCAACCTACTACGGAAGTACAATACAGCTGTCCAAAACGTCATGTTTGTCGAAAAGGTTGACATCGCCGATTCTGATTTTGACTGTTCTAATTCAACATTGGAGGTGACACTGGATGTTACACTTGGCAAACTGTTAGATAAGTCACAGCGCCAAGAAATCCGTCAGCTTTGTCAAGAATACAGTGATGTCATAAATCCTAATCCGGGAAAAACATTGTTAGTTACGCAAGCCTGAGGACAACGTGTGAGAAATCAATCCGACAACAGCAATACAGAATTCCTCAAGCCAAAAAACAAGAGGTGAAGAAAATGTTGGATGAAATGATAGAGCGTGGTTATATAACACCTTCCTCAAGTCCATACTCATCTTCAATAGTTTTGGTGGAAAAGAAGGATACTACAACTCGGCAATGTGTGGATTACAGGAAACTAGGAAACTAAAAGACGTAACTGTATGTGACGGGTACCCAATACCCAGGATGGACGAGATATTTGAAAAGCTGGGCAAAGCTCAATACCTCAGCACTATGGGCCTAGCAAAGGGATACTGGCAGATACCTCTGTCTCCAGATTCACAGGAAAAGTCAGCATTTTTAACTGAATTTGGACACTTCCAATTCAAGGTAATTCCTTTTGGTATGAAAACAGCGCCTGCTTAATTTGCAAGGATGATGGACAGACTGTTAGCAGGAGTAGAACATTTGGTCGCTTACTTTGATGATATAGTGGTATACAGCGACACATGGAAGGAACACCTTGAACATATCAAGACTGTATTTGACAGTAAAGTGGATTAACAGTAAAGCCATCAAAATGTCAATTTGGTGAAGAGGAACTTTACTATCTGGGACACATTGTCGGGATAGGAAAGCTTAAACCAGATAGTCGGAAGGTTCAAGCCATGGTTGACTTCCCCCTCCCACAAACCAAAAAAGGGATTAGGTCGTTTCTAGGTATGACTGGTTACTATCGGCGTTTCATTCAGGATTATGCCAAGATATCGGCTCCATTGACCAACATGCTAAGGAAAGACAAACCAAGGCAACCCAAATGGACGGATGACACTGTAAATGCATTCAACCAACTAAAGGACGAGATGACCAAGGCACCGGTACTAGCAAATCCGGATTTTGAATAGCCCTTCGTCATTCAGACTGATGCCAGCAAAGTGGCTATTGGAGCGGTCTTAAGTCAGAATATCAACGATAAGGAACACCATATTGCGTACATCAGCAGAAAGTAACTGCCGCGGGAACAAAATTACTCTACAGTGGAGAAGGAATGTTTAGCTATTGTTTGGAGTGTGGAGTCATTCTCCTATTATATTAGTGGTGTTCACTTTACCATTTTGACTGACCACAATCCACTTAAATGGCTTGATAAGACCAAGCAAAAGAATCAGAGACTGTTAAGATGGGCACTGGCATTACAACAGTTTCATTGTACAATCAGGTATCGACGGGGCCAGGAAAGTGCCAATGCGGACGGACTATCCAGAATTGAATAAAGAGTGCACATATTTTGAAAAAAAAATAAAGGACGAACACTGACTCTGGATGTCTCATCAGTTATTGACATGTGTTTTAAGGTTTTATGATGTGTATACCTTAAGAACAAACAGTGACAGTCTAACAGAAGTACCTTATCCAAGGAAGTTAACAGTATCTGAATCAGATTTATGAACTGTGTTAATTGTAGAATTTAGAATTAACTGTTGTTCAAGTAAACTTTACCAGTGTTTGTGTACATACTAGATATTATCTCAGCCTGAGTATCATGAGTAGATTGCTATCTCTTGAACTTTTAGACCGTAAAAGTTTTCTTAGGCAGGGGGATGTTAATGGTGAAATTTGTCACTCAAGTGTAGAACATAATTTGTGTTAAATCTTAATGTGACCGGCTGGCTTATCAGACAGATAGTTTAATTGCGGTCACCTTAGTGTCAGAATCATGCCGTGAAACATTGGCTGGACATGCTCTCCACCAGTGAGACATTAACTGTTCACGGTTTAATTGTAGATCAGTAGAAGACACTTTCCCTATCAGAATTAGATTATAATTGTTTTAGGATAAACTGTAAGATCACAGCAAATAGAGTCAGTCCTGGTGTGGCCGTGGAAGGAGTAACTTGTTAAGCTCGATACTCAGGCCATATATGTTATCATTGTTGTAACTTGTGTTAATACTTAACATTTGTACTAGAGAACGGTTGTTGCTGGTCTTTTGTATAACATAAGGATAGTACAACATAGAGGGGTAACACTGACCAATGACCAATTCCAGACTAAGATGGAGTAAAGCCGTAGGGAATTTTACGTAAAATATTCCTTTGTTTATCTGTTGTTTTGAAGGAAAGGTTTTTTTTATACGAAAATGGTGACCTTTGTTTGAAAAGTTTAATTCATCAGTATCGTGGTAATTGCAAAAATATCGCAATACAATTTAACAATCATAAAGAAAAAAAACTGGTTTCGTGTCGTACATTCATGTCGTTCAAGGATAGCATAACTTCATGAAATACTATATCATATCTTACACAGCAAATTGAGTTTAATAATAGCTGCTCACCAGACGGCTTGCTGGGCTCTCCAATCCCTAAGGAGTTGGCTGCCGACACACGGAATATGTATCCGACGCCAGGCTTCAGACCTGTTACCTCAGCCATGTGCTTGTCGCTTGTAGGGATGATTGTGTCTACGTCGGCGATATCTTTCAGGTGACGGGGGAAAGCAAAATTCATTGTCAAATTAATATCTTACATTTACATGGATATCTATCGATTAGGGTTCTGTTGAACAAAAATTTGCTGAAAACAGGTAAGGTCAATATTTGTTCATTTGCATTTGTATTCGTGTATAGAAGACAAAACGTTTGATATTGTTTTTTATAATAGATTTTAGTGAATTGGCGGGAGCAGATACTATGGTTGTTCAAAGGTACACCATGACAGTAAATTTCAAAATGACAGAATTTACATTATTGGGTTGAAATCATAAATCTTATTTTTCAGAATTTGATTTTCCAGCAACATACGTATATATTGTCCACTTTACTGAGGTTTCCAGCTTATCCGCTTTTAAGAGATCTTACTTTACATACATGGTATTACAACAGTCCAGGAATGTCCCTGCTCTGACCTGGCCTCCACCATATAGAAATCTACAGGTAGACCATTCAAAGCGCCTACACTCCATTTGATCCTCATGGAACTTGTCGAGATGGTGGTGGTGTCTGCATACACGCCAGCAGGTGGGCCGGGTTGTCCTTTAAGAAAATGGGCAGGTTTTATCTATGCATATGTCAAGGAGAAAAAATCCATATATCTTGACTTTCAATCATAAATATCAAAGCTTTATTTTCTAAACGTCGAGTCGATTTTTTACCTAAAACAGTCAGACGGGCGCTCGCACGTGACGTATCCATAGTAGTTATGACGACGCATTCATATTCTCCCGCGTGTTTTTCTTGAGCGAGCCGTATATATAAGCCTTGAACATTCTGTGATGTACCCTGCAGGGAAAATCACATGTAATATTTAGTAGTTTAGCATTCAATATATTTATGATCTGAGAGCATGACAAAGGAACAAAACTAATTTTGATTGAAGAAAGATTTGGAGATTACAAACCAACAAGATATCAATGGGATTGCTTATGAATGGAATTGAAGATTTCGTACTAGCTGTCTTTTTGTTCTATGATTTCGTACATTTGAATATTATCTTAGGATTTTGAATAACCTTTCATGACAGTGTGATATATCAATACATCTGATGGGTTATGGTGAAACATACCAAGAAATAATGCCGATTATTGTCGAGATCAAGAGTCTCGCCATTGAAGTTCCATGTCTGGACGAATTCAATATGAGACGACACAGAAGCGCTGCATGTGAGGAAAGCGGTGTTGTTTACATACACCGACGTTGGCTGTGGTACCACGTTTATCACTGTGCTAGCTGTGAAATTCACACGCAAAAGACAAACGTCAGATAGATAGGGACCATCTTACAAGCGTCGGATAGATTACGATCAAAATCTAAGAGTTAGATAGACAGAGATCAAAATATAAACGTCAGGTAGATAGGAACCACCTTAAAAGCGTCGGATAGATTACGTTCAAAATATAAGAGTTAGATAGACAGAGATCAAAATATAAACGTCAAGTAGATAGAGACCACAAAACAAGGGTCATGTAGACAGAGAATACGATATAGTATTGTAAATGTCAGATAGATAGGTACCAAAACTCAAACGTCAGTATTTTCGTGAATTAGTCAAAAATTCTGTTTATACGTCTAACACAGGCTCAGCTTGTATATTCGTGTTTTCTAATGCTGTCTCATCTTTAAGATCTGGTTAATAAGCAGTTTAAGAGCACCTGTTTCATTTACATACAGTCTTGAAGGAAATACGGATGGTCTATAATACCGAAAATGAATTTGGATGTTAACCATACACGATTAAAATGTAATGGTAAAAATAGAAGAAAAAAGTAATTGATTTTTTAATATATTCAAATGAGATGATGGCAACTAACGAACAAAGAAAGATTTACATGGAGACTTGATGTTCATGTGTTGAGTAATATATTGATGATATTTTATCTTCATAAATGTTTCACCACGTGCAAAATCATTACATATTAGTGTCTTTCGTAAAATCTTTTAGTGATAAAACATGACAACTTACACGTGACGGAAAGTGTCCCAGAGCTGGACGCAGATCCATAGATATTTTCCGCTGAACATGTGTAAAGACCAGCATCACTTTGCACCACATTTTCTATAAACAGATTACCGTTCTGCATCATTCGAATTCTTGACGTCATATCTCCATGGGAAAGACCGAGGTCACCTCCATTACGACGCCACTGAAATGTTGGAAACGGAGCCGCCTCCGGTTCACATATTATAGTTGCATTTCCGCCTATAGCCGCAAACATTTTCTCATCCAAAGGCCTTTTCGCAAAGGTTGGGGAAAGAGCTGCAAGATAATGTGTTTTACATATTACTAATGTAACGAAAGAGCTGTTTTAACTGCTTAGATGGACATGTACCGAAATATTTGGTTTGTTTTTCTGACGAGAAATTCGAATTATCGATTTAGTTGAAAGATTAATTCACACACTTCTCAATGCTTACCAAAATCTCATTTAAACAAAAAAACAAATAAAAGCAATACAGGACTTTTGAAATCATATTTCAAGAGACTTATTCTAAAATGCTGTGGTTTTTCAATGCTGCTCGAGATACAGTCTCAATAACATAATATTATAGCAGAGTTTGAAATTAGACTTTCATCATACACTTGCCTAAAACCCGAAGTTGTCCTTCCGTAAACACCTCTCCATACACATTGGTCGCTGAACATTGGTACATCCCATTGTGCTTCTCAGGGTCCAAACTATTGATCAACATTACATTTTTTATGATAGTTCTCTCCCCTGGGATGCTCGTAATCAGGACCCCGTCTTTGAACCATGTGTATGTTGGCGTTGGAAATGCTTTTGCTTCACATCTCCAAGTCAGTTGACTTCCGATGTCCACATGCCGATCACTAAGTGGATAGCTGAAGAATGGCTTCGCTGCCAAATGATAACGTCAGTTATTTCACAAGCATAGTAAACCTGGTGTTCTAACTGCGATAAATACTTTGCAATGCAATGGTACAAATCCACTATCTATTCATGTAATCGATGAAATTTTCGTAAGTCAGGAGATGTTAGAAAAATGTTTATCATATAAATATATATAATATACATTCATCCTTGACAAACCTTCTATGATGACTGTGAGCGTCTTTGCCACCCGGGAACCATGGCCTCTCGTCGCATGACATGTATAATTCCCGCTATCTTCGAGTTGCGCGCCCTCTATCATCAGAACTCTGTTATGATCTAGTGATCTAACTGTCCTTGGTAAGGGCAGCAACTCTCGGCTCCACGAGTACTCTATCGTCATGCTATAAATACATTATGACTTTTTTATGTGGCGTGTTCTTCAAAATCGATGAATCAAATTGATCACGTGAAAATGATAGATTTACGAAAACAAAAACATGTAATTCAATTAATAGGAATAAAACCAGATATCGTTGTATGAGGGTCTTTTTCTCCATTAGCAAAGATTCCGAATAATAATCCAAGTAATGTGACGTTCGCAAAATTAGTATCGGTCAATAAATATGAAAACATTATATCGACTAATTTGCATTGGCCACGAAACGATCCGTGTTTTAGTTATGAGTATTTCCTGATAAGATCATGACGATTTGTACTTTGTCGCAAGTAAACCTACAATTTATTTATCTATATAAGCGATAAAGTATATTTCTGTCTGGATTTGTCGCGTTCTTCACATAAATATTTATATCAAAGTCACACCTACGCCTGTGTTCACCTCACAATCAGAAGTATTTAACATTACACGTAGTTTTAATATAACAAATACGAAAAGTTAACATTGTAAAAGAAAATAAACCGAATAGTAAAGTATATCGCTTTATCGCACTACCACAATCAATGATGATATAAATCGGTTTGCGTAAACAAAAGAAGATGTTTTAAATCATCATCTTTTGTAAGTTATATATATAAACATTATGATTATCATACTTGCCTGCCATAAGCTAAACATTCCAGATAGATGTCCTGTCCTCTGATAGGTCGTGCGGGAAAATATGCAGGAAAGTCGTTACCAATCTCAGGTCCCCAAATTGTCTCAACTACAAAAAAAGCATGTTACTTTAATATACACGAATAGTATCTGATCTCCTCCTAAATCTACCATAAATTTACCAAGTCGAAATGGTGGTGCTTGGTCAACGTGGAGATCAGTGTACGCTGTAAGGACAAGACATTGTACATACATGGAGGCGCGTGGTTCTAAAATGATTAAGTATGGATAGAGAGTCATTCGCATGTGTATATGTGGTATGGACATTTAGTTTTGAAGTATGGGGTCTGATAAATGTAATTGCCTTTTTCTTTCTAAGAACGGGGCTTTGTCTATCTACACAGTTAAGGGGCGGGTTGATCTCACCTTGCTGAGTGACGCTAAGCAGTATGGGACGGCTGGTTCTGCTCGGTGGCTGATTGGTCCCGATTGCGGCGCCATTATTTGACGCCAATTCCACGATACAGAAGTATTCATCCTCGTCCTCTTTCGAAACGACCGAGAAGTACAGCTTACCATTCCTTGAGATGAAGATGTAGGGAGTTAGATCAGGTCGGACATACGACCCAGTCCTCCGCCTCAACCACTGGTAAGTTACCGCTGTAAAATATAATACAAGGATTTCTCCATGAAGATAACATACATTTTACCTATTCCATCCCTGAACAGATATATTGGATACAATGTCATATTTGTCATCAAAGGTCATCAAATACGCACTAAAACGTGAGGAATTTCCCCCGCCACTCATAATGCTTTTTGACAAGCAGTGCACACATGTACAAACTTTTAGGCAACTTACATATCAAACTTCAATTCTCCTCACAAAATTCGTAACAAGCTTGTGCTGATACCGAAAATCTGAAAAATCGTCCGTTCGATCACGATCCCTGATATCATGACTCCGCTCTTTATTCATTCTTTCTTATAATCAATACACATTTTAACTTATTCTAATAGAGAATTTCGTTTTGTTTGATTGCTTGTCGCAGAGACTGCTGACCAAACCTCTACATGGGTCTATTATCTCAGGTGGAAATCAAGGCAAACAATGAATAACGTGGTAGTGTCATAACATTCGTATATATTGTGTTATAGGCATGATAATTTGTCATCTCAGTGTTCAATGTACCGTGACGATTATAAATGATACATATACCGTGTTAAGGAGCAGTATTAGGCTATCAATATGTTATTTATTGACTGCACGTTTATCTGTAGTCAGTAGTCTTATATTTCTTAAATCAATGAAAGCAATTAACTAAAATAGGTGGTTCAGAGTAAACTCAACACTATACCTCTTACAATGCCACAAAAAATGACACTCTAAGAATGAAAGCATGTACATCAAAGTAGACGGAGAGGATTTCGAACCCACTGGACAAAAACTCCGATGAGGGTAAGAAATCACTATTTTGCTGGGATAAGACAGCCTGCACGCACAGGACATAAACACGTGCTAAACCGGAAGTTGTTAATTTGAGAAGTGATTGCTTGATGTTGGTAGTTTAAGATAAGTTTAATATTATTGTCAGACAGTACTTGATCATTATGGCTGAATCGTTACGTCTTTGTATAGTAGATAATGTATATTGCATATCGGTAAAAATATAGGTCGTTGTTTGCCTGATTTTTCCCTATTTGTCAGCATGTTTGTCTCGCTATTCTATTTATAGTATGTTGAAGAAAAGGGATTGAAAATGGATCATTTCCTAGTTTCACGGCAGGACAGAAAAGATTCTAGCCTCGGAGGAGATTCCCAGCAGCCTAACCCCTTGCAAAGCCTCGTATAAGCAGTCGTGAATCTCCTCCTCGAGTTGAGATTTATCTGTCCTATCCTCCACCTAGAATGCAAACGAAGTGCCTGTATTTGTGTGTGGAGGTATAGGATGGAGTTGGATGAACATTTGTGTGGATCTGAATTGCACATATCCATGTTACGTGCCTGGTGTGTGTGTATCACGGACCTGATTTATGAGCATGACGTGCGTGGTTTGTGTGTATGACATACCTGGTTTATGAATAGGTGCGGCGCAGTCGATCTGCGCACTCTCGTGAGACAGAGCGGTTACCGGTTCCCTGTCAACGTTTGAGAAGCTTCCTAGACCTGCGGATATTGATAGTAGCAAATGACAACAATGCAATACAACTTGATCATAGGTCGTCACTCTCCGTTATTATTTTCTTTTTATATAAATACCAACTATATTTCTCTATTTGATTTTAAAATTACAGAAAAAGTCGATTTTTCACTAAAAACATGCAAATAATGAAAGTCCACTGAAGAGAGAATTTGAATAAAGAAAGAATGTTACTTACTTCCAAAAGTAAAATACATTGTGTTTCCCAGGATAGCTCCGAACGTGTTTTCAGCGATACACTGGTATATTCCGGAATCATTACGCTCATTAGGATACTGTATGGTAACCTTTCCATTGGTTACTGTATACCTGGGGTCATTGTCAGGTGAAATTACAGTCTGTTTGTTTTCGTTGTCGATGAAGACAATGGTATAGGTTGGGGCAGGGTTCCCTGTTGCCACGCACTCGAAACTGGCACTTTCAGCTGTACCTACAGCAACCAGACTGGTGGGCTGGAGGATCATGTCTGGACCCCTTGGAGCCAACACGGGGTCAGTTAGGTCTGTCCCATAGGCTTTAACATAAATTATGTTCGATAGAGCTGTTACTGAGACTAATTAACAAGAAAGTAAATATTGGTCAGTTTTTGTTATGTGTATGCATGTCTTGATAATAATAACAGGGATGAAAACGGGATGTGTTAGAAATAGACATAGAGCTATAACATTGTCTCTCATATATACAGAGTGTGATTTAAATGGTTTTGTAGCTAAAGTGTTGATAATTAATAAGACAATAATCAAACTAAGCATCATCTCATATATAGTGTTGATGGACGAATACAAACAGAAAAATGTATCAAAACTGTGCCAGCTATAAATCGTTATATCATACATACAATACTTCAAACTCATTACCATTAGGTAGTACAGAGCAGACACGTGTTAACATATACATCTACATCCATACATTAATACGTGTTTGTTATATATATATTTACCGTAATCCCTGTGTGTTTGTACTATCCGATAAGCCTCGTTCATGTTGATTTCACAGATGTAAGGAAGTTCAGTGGATTCCACTTCGCGGCCCCAACGATATCCCAGAACTTGAAAATAGCAGACAAGATGACAATAGCACAACAACATTCATTTCTGCTCTAGCCATGATTTCAACATTTCATTTTCTTATAAATTGATTTTTTTTAATTCTTTTAACAAAAACACTCTTCTTTATGATTTCCACGATATCAAAAGTTTTAGACTTGGGCCAAAGAATTGATGCTTGTAGTGTGTTTACAGTCAGCTTGGAGCCAGATTACGTCTTGGGACTGATTTCTTTCTGTCTAGTCAGTCATAAGCAAATGGACAGATGATTACCAGCGTAAGTGTAGACGATGTGAAGACCAGGTTTAAACATCTCTTGGACGTTGAGCCAGTATTGGTCAGCCTGCTGAATTTTAGTTCCGTCTCCTTTCCACTGAAGATCTCCCATCGCCATGTCGTAGATGATGCCACTGGTGTACCAACGGTATCTACGCATGCCCAAACATATGATCAAGTCATATATTTGTATAATTAGTATTGAAGGGTGGTTTGCTATGTCAAGATCAATTAAGCTTTTTATGTGTTTTACGGAAACTTGGGATCTCGCTGTTTCCATACACACATATTTTTTCAATATGACCCAAACACTGGTGGATTTATTGAATTTAGAGGGAAATACCGTTGAAACACTGAGCATATGCTTTTTTCTTAACTTCATTTGAATTATCTGATATTACCATCTCTATGATGGATCATTATAACGACGACCTTTTCATAAAGTACAGCAGGAACTGCAGGTCTATGTCTGCATAGCATATATACTAACTTACTTAGTACAATACAGTTACATAAAGACCGAAATGTTCCGAAATGACTTCGAATTTACATATCAATTTTGATGTACGAAAGCTACATATGTGACGTCACATTCATACTCACGCGCCTACGTCATTGTTTTCAAGCCAGTTGCTGATGAAGTTGTGTTCTGTATTACTGTTAACGCTTAAGAGAGAGGCTCCGTCTACCTATCGTATAAAATATTAGTTTCCGTAGTAGACAAGAGAAATCCAACAGAGCTAGGCCCAGAAATGGAAGTTTTATATATACCTATATTAAACGGTTGTCCAACCTTTAATTTCCTACGAGAAACGATGTGATTATACAATACCGTGATACTTACAAAAAAGATGGAATTCTGAATGTTTATTTATTTGTTTATTTGTTCATTCATTTTTCATCAAAATGAACCGTACACTAAATTACATTAAGCGCTAGATTACATTGGTATACCTGTTTATCTGTATTTACGGTTTATCATAATTTTTTCGACTCAAACCTACCCCACACGCCTGTTTAGCACCGTCGTAATTCTGGTACGGATAAAACACGAACTTGTAACATTGCGTATCTAGGGGCACCCAAGGTTCCGGACAATCTGTAAAAGAATTGTTGTAAGAGTAACTATGACGTTAAGCAGATGGGGCGAGTAATATCCTTTACAAGCCTCCCATTGCACGACGAGAAGATGTAGGGACATTTCCTTGTCATAATAATTCCGTCAACATTGGTTTAACTAAATAATTCGATGACGTCACAATGCTAAGCATACATCGAACACCCCACTCCATCCCCGAATAGGTCTGCCTTCACAGCACATGCACGAAACATACTGTGAATTAACCGTCAGCATTCATTTCTCGAGACACAATATATATAACTACCTATATACTGATGATATATTACCAATAAGTCTCTACCGACAAACTGAAAAATACATGGAAAATTAAAGAGGAAATATATAGGTGTAGATGGCGTATTTCTTATCGTGGGTTGTATATAATCATTTGTATACTATTTAAGTGGTATACACACAGTTAAAGCAGTCGTCGAGATATGGTTAACATTACAGGAAAACGGAGTGACTAATGGTCTTTAGACCAATATAAAGTGAATCACCTGTTACTTCAGTGACACTAGATTTCAAGTGTTTCAAGATGTTAAAGGTCATTTTACTCTCCTCTTATGAGTGTGTCTAAGTATTTTATATACGTTTCGGATTTTAAATCACTTTTGTGAGAAAATTCAAGTTTTTACTTTAAACATATTCTCCACAGTGGTTTTGAAAGTAAAATCGTGTATTTTCGTGGCGATCAAGTTTCGTGGTTTCCAAAAAAAAAAAAAAAAATACACATGTTGGTAAGCACTGGATGTTGGGGTTACATCTTGCTCTCGAAATCCGCTAGAGGTATAATCTATATCAACTTTTATCCGCGTATTCTTTTATATGTAAATTCTTGGATTTTGAGTACCCACGTAATCAACGAAAATAAAATCCATCTCGAAAATCCATGACTTAACAGTATATCTGGTTGTTTTGACTAAAGTGACTGTTAAAATGGAGGTACAAATGTATTATTCGGAAGCTATCGACTTGGTGTGTTTATCAAGACTCGAACTGTGAAATATGATAAGGTTATCAAACATGTCGCACCCTACACTTCACTTATTTACATTACGTAAAATCACGAGGAACGTGGACTTCAGTGTTACTATGAGTCAGACGCTGTACGCAATAACAGTCTAAGTACTTATGGTGTATTTGTTCAACACTAAAAGGAGTCACAGGGACATATTAACGAAAACAAGAAAACCTGTTCACATAAGGAAAAAACGCGATCAACAAAGGCGATAAAAACGAGAGTCTGTAAACAAGAATGATACCTTTTAAAATCATCCGTACTTTTATTTAAATATTATCAATTTTTGTTTTAAATGTGCTATACTCGATTTGGCTCTCTAAATTAATGAAACAATGAAATGCAATAGAACATATTTTACCGTTTCTTGTCTCTAAAGTAACTAAACGTTCGAGGAGATATCCGATTATACAGACAATGGATTTCTTTCTATATCATATTTAATAATTAAGTTGTTTTTTGTATGTTATATATTTTTACGTTACCCCTGGATCAAAACATTTGTTACTCCGTGATTAATCATTCCAGATTTTAGTAACACAGTTTTATAAGCACAACATTTCATCGGATCACGTATTACTGAAGGTCATCTACATATAGACTGGTAGGAGGGATGAACTGAAGTGATGTATTTTCTCTGTTGGTACACAATCCCCCGGATCAGAAATGATATGCTGGAAGTGACAAAGGGATGTAAAACATTCTTTATTTGTTCACAAGATTCCGGATTCAGAAAGTTATGTCGAAAGTGACAAAATGATGTGATATAGTCGTTAATGGTACAAAATACTCCGGATCAGAAATTATAGCTATACATACAGCGATATTCCGTAGTCGATAACTGGAACAGGCAACTTAAAACAAAGAGGGCACGGGACATAGTGATTCAGTATCCGGATCTGTCGTCTGTAAATAAACATTGTGTAAAATGTTAAGTATTCATCGTGTGTAAAGCTCCTGACATATCTGACGACATTTAAAAGGGGGACAACTCATATAAAACAGCAAAGACAATGAAATCAAGATGGTGTCCTCATTATACTTATTGAAGTTAAAGTGCTGCATTTCAGCAGCTTGGGAGTATCATTGTGTGTCTGCAGCCATATGTTATAAAATTTATCTAAAACAGGTTCCGCAAATGAACTTGATAACTGACTCTATTAAATAGTCACCTGGTGATATATTGCTCGCGATATTCTAGATTTTGTTTTAAGAAGTAGGTACTAATCGCCAGATTGTATACCGATGTCCATGTTTTTTTTATCTCAATCATAAATCCTACGTGATTGATGGTAGATATTGGTGTAATTTAGACAGACAAATAATTTTTGTTCTATGTGTACAATCGTCGGAAAATATTATTCGAGTTGTGGAGATCCAGAAAAAAACTTCGAACTGTGGACATCCAGAACAACAAATAATATTTAAGTAACATAGCACTCTCTTTGTCTACACATCGTGATATTGTACTTTGGAGAATTTGTAAACATTACTTTAAACCCTTTCATTGTAATGGAATTTCGGTGAACAAACCAAGTTATTGTGATCCTATTTCATCTCATCTACTTACAGGTGAGGGAACTGTAGATGGTACATCAAAGCAGCAAAACTTAAAATTATGACATTAGAAATCTTACCTCTGTACTGCTAGTCTTGTGCAGTTTCAATGTCATTTCAGTATTTGCAAATGGCGAACGGTGTGTCCAATCATCAGCCGGAAGTAGCTGAGCGTTTCCATCTTTTATTGTTTTATAGCGCTATAAATGATCAATGCCTACATTTTATGATGTGCTCGATCAATAAGTTTTCCCACAGGATTTTACTGTCGTTATTTACAAGCGGAATGGATAATCACTCCAGCATACATGTATGTGTTACTACTGTTTTAACGCAATGAGAAGACATTTAGTTTAAACATATTTATTGCCAAAAGATAGACAAAGGATTAGGCACAAGTTATTGTGAAACAGGTGAAGTTAAAGAGCATCCCTACTTAATAAGTGTTTCAATTTCCTGACGACATTGATTTTTTTCAAAACCGAAGTGTAAATTTAATTAACATGATCCCCTCCACATTGCATTCGAATTAAAGGCTACACCTACATGCTTATGCTAGTCTGTAAGATTTAAAGCTTTCCCATCAATGTCTAAGTCTAAGTCTCCTTCGATATCAGTGGAATTTGAAACAAGTAGTTAAAGCCTCTAGGTCTCTATTTAACATTTCTTGAATTTCTAGACAAGATGAAGATGGATTAAGTAATGACGTATCGTCTGCAAAGAGGCGAGACCCGGATTCAAAAATTTTTGCTATTTCATTGATAAAAGTAGGAAATAAAAGTTGTCCTAGAATAGAGCCTTGCGGAACCCCTGCCTCAATGAGCCCTTCAGAGGAATATGAGCTGTTCAAAATATGTTTTAATATATATATAATTTTCTAGCAAAATAAGCATTTCGCATGAAATTCCGTACGATTTCAATTTCGCCAAAAGGCCTCTATGCCAGACCCTATCAAAGGCTTTGGATATATTGCAAAATACAATACATCTATGTTTTTTTCTGCAAGTGCAATACAAATTAGGTGGTAAATATCAATGAGTTGATGCACTGTCGAATGACCATGCATAAAACCAGACTAATATCTGTAAAACAAAGAATTTTCTATAAAATAGATGTAAAAATGTTTCAAAATCACTCTTTCAAAAACTTTACCAACAGTTGACAGCAAGGACATTGTTCTATAATTGGAAGGATAATGTCTGTCACCGATTTTAAACAACAGTATGATATTAGCTAAATTCCATTTGTTTGGATAAACCCCTGCTGATAAAGACATATTAAATAACATTTTGAACGGATTACAAATAGTATGGGCAGTAATTTTCAACATGTGGTGGCTGATTCCATCCACACCCGGGGCCTTGCCGAGCCTCAATATCCGTACAACATCGCGTATTTCTATCAAATTTAATCTAATTGAAATACTTTGTTTGTC